AGCTGCTATAATTGCTGTTAGGAAACTGGAGGGTGATCATAGTGACATTATGGCTTCTAGCTTCAACTCACTGCTAGGGCACATGCAGGAATTATACACAGGAAGGGTAGAACCATATATGAGGGAAATCTCAGAGGTCTTTAGTCCTATCTGTGCAGTTCAATTAAATGTAGTGCATGATTTTCATTTGTAGAATCTTTTTGAGGAGACCCTTTCATCTAATTGATAAATTAATTATGTAGTTATTGAGTGGCCAGTAACTATAAAGAGATTATATTTAGGACAAAAAAAATCACATGATCATCTCAATAGATGTAGAAGCCTTTGACAAAATCCAGCACTCATTCATGTTAAAAACACTGGAAAAACTAGGGATAAAATGAACATACCTCCTTGGGAGAGAGAACAAAACTGTCATAAAGGCTTAGACGACATATAACATACCCAAGGCCAACATCATACTTTAACAGAGAAAAACTGAAAGCAGGAATAGGACAAGGATGTCCACTTTAACCACTCCTATTCAATACAGTTCTTGAAACTATAGCTAAAGTGATCAGACAAGAGAAGGAAATTAAAGGCATACAAATAGGAAAAGAAGAGAGCAAATTATCTGTTTGTTGATGACGTGACTGTATAATTAGAAGAACCAAAACACTTCATCAAAAGACTTCTAGAGCTAATAAATAAATTCAACAAAGCAGCAGGATACAAGACCAACATACAAACATCAATAGCTTTCCAATATTCTGATAATGAATCTGCAGAGAAAGAAAGCAGGAAAATAACTCCATTCACAATAGCCACAAGAAAATTACTCGGGAATAAATTTAACAGAGGCAAAAGACCTCTACAATGAAAACTAGAGAACATTGAATAAACAAATTGAAGAAGACCTTAGAATATGGAAAGGCCTTCCATGCTCTTGGATAGGCAATTAATATTATAAAAATGGACATACTGCTATATACAGACTTAATGTGATCACCATCAAAATACCAATGACATTCTTCATGGAACCAGAAAAAACAATCCTTAAATTCATATGGAAGAATACAAAACTCAGAATAGCCAAAGACATCCTGAGCAAGGAGAGTGATACTAATGGCATCAAAATATCTAATCTCAAAATTATATTGCAGAGTGTTAGTTACAAAATAACATGGTATTGGCATAAAACAGAAATGAATAGAAGACGTGGAGACAAATCCACAGAGATATAGTCATCTGATCCTTAACAAAGGTGTCAAAAACATACATTGGAGAAAAGATAGCATTTTAAACCAATGGTGCTGGGAAAATAGGATATGTAGAAACAAGAGTATGAAGGAAACAAGAGTATGAAGAGAGAGCTTACAGAATGAGAGAAAAATCTTTGACAGTTATTTTCCAACAGGAGATTAATAATAAGAATATATAATTAGTTATATATATGTAATCAAACATATATATTTGTAATCAGTAAGAAGTA